CATAACATCATACTGTAGCAGTTGCCAATTGAAGTGAGCAGCCAATGATAACAGGATTCTCACAGTGTTCTTTCTTGCAACTGGAGCAAAGATTTCCTGATAATCTACCCCGTAAGTCTGAGTGTACCCTTTGGCTACTAACTTTGTCTTATATCTTTCAAGAGATACATCAGCCTTGTACTTTAATGTAAAAATTCACTTGCAATCAAAAATATTTTTTTCTTTGGTTTGTCAACGATCTCCCATGTTTTTTTCTTTTCTAAAGCACTCATTTCCTCTTTCATAGCGTCTCTCCATTCCTTTTTTGTCAATGCCTCAGACACATTGTTAGGAATGACAATGGTGTTCAAACTCACAATGAATCTTTTGTGGGCTAGTGATAGGCGCTTGAGAGATATATAGCGAGATAGTGGATAGAGTGGATTGGATTCTTGGACTTGTGTCAGTTCAGGAACGACCTTTCTCCTTGAATACACCTGAGGAAATCTCAGGAAATCATTAGTGACACTGGTTGGAGTAAGAGATCATAAGGGTTAAGGATCAAGTGACTCAGATGTGATTGGTTTAGAGGACTCGGGTTCAGCTGGAATAGGAGGAGAGTTTGATCTAGGTTCAATAACATGGGTTGGCACATGTGGAAGGTCAAGGGGTTTAAGTGGTTCAAAGGGCTCACACGGACTATGCCTCGGTTTCTTGCAATAAGTACACCAAAGATTGTCTTTGTTCTCCTTCCCTTGATTATCGTTCTTTGGCTTCTCCTGATTTGTGTTTGCTGCTAAGGCTGGCCCATCCATAGTATGTGGTTCTAGCATGACACTCCGACTTTCTTCTGCTCGGATTAATGAGATTGTCTCTTCTAGAGACGGTGTATCCTCCTTGTCGAGGATTTGGATTCAAATACGATCAAATTCAGGATTCAATCCTGCCAAAAAATCATATATCTAATCCTTCTCAATAAACTTTTTCAAGGTGGCAGCATCATCAGAGCATTTCATCTCAATTACACGATAGTGATCCAGTTCCTGCCACAGATTCTGCAATAGAGTTGCATACTTTGTGACAGATTTGTCTCCTTGTTTGGTTGCTCCAGTTTTTTCCTTGATTTCATACACAAGGGCAGCATCGCGGGCTTTCGAGTATGTGCGATTAATATAGTCCCACATTTCCTTTGCGGTGTTCAAGAACATGCAAGTGTCACTGATCGTTGGGTCCATAGAATCCCATAGCCAGGACATAATCATGGAATCCTCCTCTTCCCATGCTGTAGAGGCTGGATCCCTTTTTTCTGGTCTGGTTCCAAGTAGGTGATTAATCCTCCCTTTGCCTTTTAGGTATGTGCGGACAATTTGGGACCATTTGAGATAGTTCTTCCCATTGAACCTATTGGATGCCCGAATATTCTGCAACTCTCCAATTTTCTGAACAACATTGTATTCTTCAAAATGGTTGAAATAGTTGGAGATAGTGGTTTCGGACATTGACATGGTATAGAAGAAAAATTTGCAACAATTAAGGCTAGAATCAACTTGCAGTGGATAAAAGAATCGCAGCAATTAAGGGAGTGAATAAAAAGAATCCAAACAACGGCAAAGATCGCGAGATCTGCGCACAGGATTGCAGTTGGAAACAACGGAAAAAGATCGCAAGCTCTACAGCGACCACACAGCGGCAAACAGCGCAAAGTACTTGCGCAAAGTACTGTACTTCAGCGGCAAAGATCGCAGAACGCAGATCTACGTGATTAGCGGCAAAAGATGATCTTCCTCGTGACAACATGCTGCTCCTCTGGGACGGAGCGAAGCGGCAACGTGCAGCTCCTCTCGGACGAAGCGGAGAAGATGGAGCGCAGATCGCAGAGAGCCAACCCTAACCGGAAGGATCAAATGGCGGCAACAGACGGTGTCCTCTAGGGTTTAAGCCTGGGCTCTGATACCATGTGGGAAATTAAAGAAATAATTTGTATTTCTCTTTATTCTTTGAATTAATCATACAAGATATTATATAGGAGATTAAAAGGAGAAAAACTAGGAAACTATTTAACTAATTCCCTTAATTTAAGAGATTACAAATTTATTCTAATTTCCTTATATTAAGGGATTTACCAATTAATTTTAATTTCCTTAATTAAGGAAATTAGAATTAATTCTCACAACTTTATTTCCATCTCAGTCACATCTCGACAGATAGTAATAGTGGTATTTTTTATGTGATGCATGTAAATATGAATGTTTAGGTTTTAGATATGTGATATATATGAATTTATTTTTGCAGGAATGGGGTTTTACAGCTTACATTGGATTTTTTGAGATATGCAAGCCTAAGAAAGGGGAGTATGTATTCATATCAGCTGCTTCGGGAGCTGTTGGCCAGCTTGTTGGGCAGTATGCTAAGCTGATGGGCTGTTATGTGGTTGGAAGTGCCGGGTCAGATGAAAAGGTATCCCACAACTGCTCATATTTCTTTCTTTCCAGTTGGTTGTTACAACCCGCCTGTCGGGCATGAAATTTACATACATACCACACAATTCTTATTTATTTATATATCTAACACCTAGAGTTTGATATTTACCTTCATAACATTTTTTTGTTAAAAGTTATGCATGAAAATGTATGTTTCACTTTTAAAAAGTTGGTAATATTGGTATATTTGATGTAATGTCAAAGATTTGAGTAGCATGTATGTAATTATGAAAGTTTAGATGTTAGATATATAAATATATGAGAATTGTGTGGTATGTAAGTAAATATCCCATAATTTTAAGAATAAAGATATTATTCGTAAGGATAGTTCTTGGTTTTAGCTTGCGCCTTTTGCTGGGTTTCTGTGATTTTTTTTTTTGCTTAAAGGGGCAGGGTGTAATAGATTTAAAGGATTAGTATTCGTAATTAGTTGAAGTGGTCTTCCTTAACCCTGGTTTAGCTAATCCTTAATCTCTGTTTTGCTAGATATATGTAATTAGTCTTCTCTCGGGTGTGTGCGCGCGTGTGTGTGTATACCTATGTATTGAACTGGTGAGATGATGAAAATATTCTCTCAATTACAAGTTCTCCCATCGATCCCTGGAGTTGCTGCATTTCAATAGAGTGGTATCGGAGCTTGGACTTGAGATTTAGGCTTAGAGTCCGTTTGAGGCAACTGTGACTTTTTGTAAAATTGATTATAAAGTTGTGATGGGAAGATTATCTTAGAAATCTATAATAAGAATTATAATTTTTTTTTTTTCAAAATGTTGGACAACTTTTTTATGGCCATCACACTTTAACAGATCTTATTGCAAAAATTAAGTTTCCATTAAATTAAAAAAAAAAAAAAAAGGAAATAGTTCTCCAAACAAAACTGTGGTTGATTGTTTAAATTGCTACGCAACAAGAAAACCATCCAAACAGAACAGTGAGTCTTAGTAGTTATTATTAATAAACTGGGTGCGAGCGGGAGTGGTGTAACAATAATGGTAAAAATTAATATATTGATTCCTTGTAACTTATTGGGGACATTATCTTAGCTTTTGGGTATAATGTGGCAGTACAGTTGAAGTCGTGTGGGATCACTTTTGTATTATGCTTATATTTTGACTTGAAATAAAACATATTTGGTATGTTTAAAATAGGGTTGTTTTTGAAAACACTAAAATGTTGTTGAGTGTTTTCAATATGTTAATTTGTTTTCAGAAAAAAAAAAAAAAAAAAAAAAAAAAAAACATGCAAACAATATAACAAACAAATTAACATGAAGTATGGGGACTATGTTAATCCCATCTCTTTTAATATGGGTTGAAATGCTCCCCATGGTGGACTATGTTAGGCCTTGTTAAAAAAAATGTGAGGATTAAATTGACACTTTTAAAGACTCTGGCTAAAATGGATCCTTACACAGAATCAGGAGGCTATTTTGACACTTTTCTCCATATATTTGACATGTTTCTTTGTGGTTTAGTATTTCTGATCAGTACATTCTGTTTAATTAGAGTCTATAAAACAGACCATCCTCTCTGTTGTCTGCTCAGGTGAGTCTACTGAAAAACAAGTTTGGTTTTGACGATGCATTCAACTACAAGCAGGAGACTGATCTCAATGCCGCTTTGAAGAGGTTTATTTTTACCCTTTTTCAATCTTTTTAATTATCTAAATTATGAACACAATTAAGATGATTCTAAGCTATAAAATGTTCTTGTTCGACTCGATTTGAATTCGTTTATTCGTTTCTATTTGTGTTCGGCTTGAAATAAACTCAAATGATTTCAAAAATAATAAAATTTGGGGTGGTTACAAGGAGCACCTGAAACATTGCTATTTTTAAATCTAGCAATCTCTTTCATCCATTTTTCAAATTCTCACTCAAATATCAAAACTCATGATGAAACTCCAACTCATATTTTTTTCATTTTTATTAAATTCTCAATGAATTGATCGTGTCACATGTAAATACATCAGTTTTGTAGTTCAAAGATGTTACCCGGGAACTAGATTTTGTAAATAGCAATATTTCAGATACTATGCATGTTATTGCCCCTAAAATTTTACTTGTTTTTTAAATATGCTCATAAAAAATCAATAAAAAATATTACCATACTATTATTTATTTTATTATTTGATTAATTTGAGTTAAAACTAGTCGATCACGATCGAAAAAAAAAAAATGTTTATTTTTGACATGCTTGCTTAATGACAAGTCAAACGAGTTGCGTAACAATTCAAACACGAGTTGTTCACGAATGAGTTTCTTAACCGCCTTAGATAACTATAGATTGTACTATAATTCGATTATGGAGAATCATAATCTAAATTCCTCAAATACAACAGAAATCAAAGCATTTATTCTCCACAGCTGCATCTACTGCTTATAATCAAACGGTTCCAACACCCTTCCATCCTCAAACCAAAACCTTCTCCATCCTCTTCCATCACAACTCAAGCAACCATTTTTCTTCCACAGGAGATTTCCCGACGGCATCGATATCTACTTTGAGAACGTCGGCGGTGCAATGCTGGACGCCGTTCTGCTGAACATGAGGATTCACGGCCGCATTGCGGCGTGCGGGATGATTTCACAGTACAATCTCGAGAAGCCCGAAGGCGTTCATAACCTGATGTTTGTTGTCTCCAAGCGGATTCGGATTGAAGGTTTCATCGTCTTTGACCATTACCACAAGTATTCCGAGTTCGTCGAGTTTACTGTTCCTCGTGTGAAGGATGGAAGAATCACATATGTGGAGGATGTAGTTGAGGGGCTTGAGAATGCGCCGGCCGCCTTGGTAGGGCTGTTCTACGGCCTGAATGTGGGGAAACAGTTGGTGGCAGTTGCTCATGAGTAGAGAGGTGAGTTCATGTGAGTGTTTAAATTGGAAATTTTAGTATATATATATATGGTATAAATAATTTGCTAAATTGGATAAATGGAACAGAATTTATGGTCAGTTAGTGGCAGTTGAGGAGGAGCAGATGGGAGTTCTATATTTTGTGAATGTTTTGGGGAGCTTTATAAGGACTGGAATGTTTGTGATGAATTTATTTTAAGTTGTTTTTGTGTTAGTTACTTGTTGATTTTATTAAAATATTGGATGAGATAAATTAGAGAAATAAAATAATTATATGATGTTGATCTGAATTATATGATTTTTTCTTAATTTTTTCTCACCCCCTCAATATATTTACTTGTCATCGATTAAAGAATATATATATATATATATAT